GAATAATATGTTCTAATGGCCGCTCCCTATCCAGTATGACTCTGCAAAAGGCTGAGCATTTCTCTTCTGAACCATGTATGTATAACTCACCAAATTAGTATCATGGATGTTTTCATTTCTAGACAACTTTCGCGGTCTCCACATAGCAAGCATTCTCAGCGCAGGCATTCTCCTTATTCTTCTCTTGATTCCAAAAGGTATGTTGCCATGAAATCTTTGTTGTGTATTGTTTTTCAGACATATACACGTATGAATAAGCAACTCAGGTGATATTGCCAGGCTTCTGCTTCTATAACTCTAATCCTGGTATGGTCTGTTTTAACTGCACTAATTTATATGCAGGGGAAGAAGATCGAGGTCCAGATCACCTGTACGGCGGCAGAGATGATTGGAGCAATGGTCCTTTAAGGATTAAGAGCTAGAATTATGTTCGTTAGTGGTCTGAAGACTGATGAGCGCTGGAACCGAGTTTCACAACAAAGCCGGTGGAACATATGCAGCTACCACAGTTGAGGACTATACTTGTGTTTCTCTGAATACGAAGTGGGTGTTACTTTGTTGAATGGGTGCATTTAGTCCCGAGGAGAATGGCATGCACGAGAGCTTTGAGGCCGATGGGTGATGTGCATGAGCTGACGGTGGATTTTGTAGGAATTATCATCACAGTTTTGTGGCATCGCGATTTGTACTTGTGACCCACATAATTTGTATGTATTGCTCCAATGTTGTTGGGACGTTGTTTTGTTCATATCAGCATTGCTGATTTTTTTTCTTTTTGGCTTGTGACTAAATATCAGAATTTTTTTTTTAATTTTCTATTTATCATTCGACCCGGATGATTATGTGTGATTTTAGTTTAAAGAATATAATGGGGTCTTAACTGACATAATTTTACTTCTGTTTTCTGAGAGAATTTTAGATCAATTTAAAACCCGAAATAAAATGATGTGAGTGCGTAACAAGAGATTTAAGTAAAGAAAAGACTCAAGCGAGGGGCTTGTAGATCAAGTGATTAAGAGCAGTTAGGGTCTATGTTTGATTCCTCCGCCCTAGTATCGCTAAGTTAGGGTCTCTGTTTGATTTCTAAGTCCTTGTAGAACAAGTGATTAAGAGCAGTTAGGGTCTGTGTTTGATTCCCCTGTCCTAGTATCGCGAAGTTAGGGTCTTTGTTTGATTTTATCGCTAATGTCATAAAAGAAAGAAAAGACTCAAAGCTTAAACGACGCCGTAAGGAAAGGAGAGCCGTATGGTTTCGTTGACTATCACGAGTACAGAGATTCAAGAACGCAAATCAAACGTAAATCAAACGAAAAAAGGTGGGCGAAGACTTAGAATGGAATCTGACGTGTAAAAGGCGACAATCTTGGCAACTCACATGGATCCCGCACGGCCTTGTCCTTGGTGGGAGCGCCGCTGGCTGGCTGGTTGGTGTGTTCGTTACTTTTGCAACTCTCTCCTCTTCTCCTCTTTTTCAGTTAAAGTTCCAGACTTTCATCTTCATTCTCTCTCTCATAGATATATACACACAAAATATATTGAGATATAAAATACCAGGCTACTTAGCTCACGATTGTCTCATTGTTCTCAACAACTCCACGTAAAATGAAGGTCACTTTTCTCTGCTTCAAAAAAATCTTTAATTCTCTTTGCCATTTTTCTTTGTTATATGACTTATATTAATGCAGAATGTAAATGTGATTTGCTTTTGCAGGCGTTTCAAGTGGGAGTATGGAGTCTATGGTCAATTTGGCTATGTGGGTTGGCGTTATTTTGTCTCTCCCTGTATGCTACTCAATGCTTACTTCCTTCCCTCGAGGATCAGATCATGAGGCCTAAGCTTAGTAAACGAGGTGCCGGCGTTTCGGAACCTCCGAGAATTATCATATTCTCAGCTCCGAGGCCGTTCACTGGTTCTGTTGGGGCTAGGCAGAGTTTAGCTGTTCGCTCGTGGCTTGCTTTGTCCCCACAGATTGCAGTTGTGCTGTTCAGCAAAGACCCTTCTGTTGTTTCTTTCGCTGGAGCGTTTGACTCGCGGGTTTTGGTCGAACCCAACATTGATTTCACGTAAGCCAATAACTTTGTCATTCATTTCTTGCCCATCATTACTTTGTTTGAATGCAGTGCATTTTAGTTGATAGGATAGTTATTGACTTAGCTATCTGCTAAAATGGAATGTTTCTGTAAGTTGTGTCACAGTTCTTAAAGGCCTTTTTCTGAAATGCAGATTTTTTTTGTCTTTTCTGCTGTGTTTTCTTTGTTTTGGTTGTATGTTAATAGTAAATTTGTGGTGATTGGTTGAATTGAGGAAAAAAGAAACAGGTTTTCAAAATGAACCTAGAAGGTGGCTTATATAATTCAGAAGAGTCTAGATGAGGAGTACAAAGTATGTTGCTTTATTTCAACAGATGGTTTTTGAGGATTAGTTCGGGCTTAAGGAAATCCTCAAGGAGTAATGGAGTGGAGCTAGAACTATCGTATATTTATTGTCATCTGATACATGTTTGTATGGGTCTAGGTTCCTCGGTACCCCATTTTTTCATTCGATGATGGCAAGATCAAGGTCATTTTCATCAGACATTTCTGTTCTGGTTGATCCTGAAACCATTCTTTTACCTGACTTCATTTCCACCATGAATTATGCTTACAAACTCGACCATGGTTGGCTTCTAGTTGCTTCATCACGAAATGTGTCCGACTTCCCATTCTACTTGGATGAGGATGGAAAGCATTGGCAAAGAGAGAATGGGAAATTGATGACGACACAGGAGGTATGAAAAAACTAATTCCAGGCTGAAAATTTGATGGTCACAACTCCATTGATATTGTGCACTCTTCCATCAGTTGCAGGAGATTTTTGAGCAGAGTTGGCAGTCGACTCCCTGTGAAGGAAAGCTGCTTATGGCATGGAATAACAAAGATCTTCCCCTACATTCTGGAGTGCTTCCTCCTTTCTTGTATGGTAGGGGGGTGCACAACAGTTGGGTCGTCAGTGAGGCCTTGTCATCTGAGCTTAGGTTTGTATTTGATGCCAGTTGGACAATCTCAAGCTTCTATCTAGTTGATCAGGAACATCAGACTGACTGGAATGTCGGAGGTTCCAGTGCTTCAAAATTTGAAAGAAGCTGGGAATATGCTGGAAATTCTCATATTGGGGCACTATATGGATCATTGTCTTATCTCGAAATTAATTACCGTGGCCTAGTAAAACTTTTGAAATGTGACGGGCAATATATTTTTGTCAATACAACGGAAAACATTGTTTGTCCGTTGGTATACCAGAGTGCAGGGAGATTATGGAAAGGAAGAATATTGCGTTTCGGGTGGAAGAAGAACACTTTGGCTTGGGCTGAGGGTGTTAAATCACTAGGCCAGTTATCAGACTGTTCTCAGATGGTTCCAACAAAGCATACGAAACCATTAGACCTTCCATTCTCTTTAGAGACACTTCTCTCGTTCAATGCAGACAAAAATAACACAATTGTGCTTACTGCTGCGGGATATAGTTACAAGGACATGCTAATGAGCTGGGTGTGTAGATTGCGCCAACTGCAGGTCACAAATTTTATCATTTGTGCCCTTGACCAGGAAATATACGAGTTTGCTGTCCTGCAGGTAGTTTATTAAATCTTGTTTATTTATTTATTTCCAGTTCTCTTCTTGTTTCACTTGAACGTGTATGTCCATTCTTATACATGAAGCATGCCAGCATGCACATGCATGGACAGATAAATAAGTAAATGATACATATCGGTTATGATTCAAAGCAGGCTGAGTTTCGGTAGTAGATCAAAGATAAAGAGTCTTTATTTACTAACTTAAGTCTCAGCAAATGGAAATTTAAACAACTTGAAGCTAGTATGAATTCTAGACTGATCTCCAAATGTGTTCATAAATTTAACTGTCTATTTCCCGTTACTGTTAGGGCCTGCCTGTTTTCAGGGATCCATTAGCTCCAAGTGAGATCAGCTTCAGTGATTGCCACTTCGGAACAAAATGTTTTCAGAAGGTGACAAAAGTGAAGTCCAGATTGGTTTTGAAGATACTGATGATGGGTTACAACGTGCTTCTTAGTGATGTGGATGTATATTGGTTTAGAAACCCGCTGCCATTGCTCTACTCTTTTGGTCCTGCTGTTCTTGCAGCTCAGTCTGATGAATTCAACAAAACAGGTGCATTTTGTGTAAATGGTCACTCTTATTTCCAATGGTATATAAGCACTTAGTACATATATGCAGTGATATCTCCATCCGTACAACTATTTAGCTATTAAATCCAATGCCCTAAACCCCTCTGTGGTATTGCTCTGTATGCAGGACCAATTAACTTACCTAGGCGCTTGAACTCTGGCTTTTACTTTGCCCGTTCTGATGGTTCGACAATTGATGCTATGAAGAAGGTGGTGGCACATGCAGCAACTTCAGATCTATCTGAGCAGCCAAGCTTCTACGACACACTATGTGGAGAAGGGGGTTCCAATCGTGTGGGTGACGATAGATGCTTGGAACCTGAAACAAATCTGTCCGTCCATTTCTTGGACAGAGATCTTTTCCCAAATGGTGCATATCTGGACCTGTGGCAGAGAAAAAAAGTGAGAGCAGCCTGTGTGAAGCAGGGTTGTTTTGTTCTCCATAACAATTGGATCAGCGGGAGACTGAAGAAGTTGGAAAGGCAGGTTTTATCAGGCCTATGGGAATATGATACTAGTACAAGGATGTGTCAGCACCATTCCAAATTAGTTAAAAAAGTTTGAGACCCAATTGGTGGTTTATTATAATCATTAGTGTCTCACTTTGGTTTTCACATCCAACAATGATAAAGAAACTATTCCTTCTCTAATATTTTCAACTATGAGAGCCTTGGTTTCATCACAGCTTCCTCTGAAAGGGAATATTAAATTAAGGAGAGCCGGCCACGAAAAACTCGTCTGTGATCAATGCTTAATAATATCAAGGCAATAGAATGCTCAGAATCCCCACCAGTGGACTATGTTGAAACATTTTGGTCAGGCTTCTTTTAATTGTGGCTATGCTGAAGAGGTTCATCCAGTTGTTAGGCCTAGCCCGGAATACTGACAGTGGAAGAAACAAACAGTTGAAAGGATCTACCATAGATGAAGGATCTGCAAGTAAGGAAGTAGGAGCTCCCATATCATTGGACTTCAGTCTACAGTCGAAGAATATTTTTGTGAGGATAGTCCACGCAGGTGGGCGAGAGGAGCTGTATCAGAATGTAGTTCCTGCATCTCTGTTGATGGAAAAGTATCCTGGGATGTGCGTTGCCCGCCCAGAAGTGTTCAAAAATCCTCAGGAGTCCTTTTTAAGGCCAGAGGAGAGCCTTTTGCCTGGTCAGAAGTATTATATAATACCAACTACTACAGCACAGAAAATTAAGCATAAACACCAAAAGAAAGCTGGGGCCAAAGAACCTGCTGAAGGCAAAGAGTCTCCAGATGGGATCATTGTGAATGCAGGAGGTTGGGACACAGATGAATCTGTTTGCTCTGCTAAAGATTATTATGCCTCCAAGGAAAGGGGGTCAAAACGTTTACGGAGAAAAGGTATTAGAGGAAAGAAGCCTTTTGTTCCCCCACTCCCGAAGACTAAATCATGTAGAGGATTGGGATGGGAGCCAAGTCTTACTTCTGTACAAGAGCTTTCTCCATGACTTTCTGTATACTATCAATCTTGCGCTCGTATTCTGGTACGTGGTTGAATTGCTACTGCAATATGTTGGTTCCATGAAAAGTCTCAGAGAGATGTAACAAAAAAATTTATAAACCATAAATAATAAATAGCGTACGATTTCCAGCGCTATATTCTATGACATGCCGTTTTAAAGACTAGGTTACTCGTGTACCATAATTATAGGAGTTGCTTTCAACAAATTTTCACTGTCAGACTCACAATATTTTGATGTCTCCCTGAAAACAGATTTTGTTTGTTAAAACTGTTATTGCCAGAATACTGCATCTAGGGGTTGTATTTTCTATATGTAAGAGTTGTACTTGAGCTGCATAGTTAACCAACATGGTGGATCATCCTTGAATTTTTTTGGGATATGTTCCTTTTATAAAAATAAAGAGCATTTTTGTAGGTAGATGCTTCCTTAAATAACATGCATGTCTTTAATAATCTTGAGCAAGGATTCCGTATATATGTACGCCAGTATAGGATACTCAAACAGAAGAAACACCAGAGTGTAGAATTCAAGAAGAAAAAGGCTGTGAGCACAAGCAAGATCTTTAGTTCCACAAATCTGTAAAAGAAGTGATTGTTTTTTAATAATGACTTACATCAACTGTCCATCGCTTCTATCTTCAAATGTACACTCACAAAATATAAGACAAAAGCTTGGTAAGGATCCATGTGTAGACAACAGAAAAGAATGCACCAGCTGGAATTGTCACAGCCCAAGAAGCCACAATTTCTCTCACTGTTTCTGCTCTAACTCTATTAAGCCCCCTTGCAAATCCCACCCCCATGACTGCACCCACCAGAGTATGAGTTGCAGAGATCGGTAGTCCCAGCTTTGATGCAAATAGAACCACAGAGGCTGCAGCAAACTCAGCTGCAAATCCTCTAGTTGGTGTCAGTTCTGTAATCTTCTTCCCAATCGTTGCTATTACCCTATACCCCCACATAGTGAGACCTGCTACAATTCCAAATCCTCCCCATGCTAGAACATCAGTTGGAATAACAATCTCAGCTCCACTGGCACCGCCATGAAGAATAGATAATGCAGCAGCCAAAGGACCTATTGCATTGGATACATCATTCCCACCATGGGCAAATGACATGAAGCAGGCTGAGAGGATTTGCATGTATCCAAAGACCCCATATACTATTTCCAACTGGGTACCCGTTGGACCTGCAATATCAGAGAGAAACCCAATGTTTTTTTGGTGGATGGTACCCTCTTTTTGCTCTGCTTCTGATGATGTGGACTTGAGGAGGAGATGACCTAGCTGCTTTCGGATAATTCTGTATACAAGGACCGCACCTGCAATTCCACAGGCTAGAGCCCGGGCCAGAGCCAAAGCCAAGCTTTCTCCAAGAGGAAAGGCTGCGAATGAGATTCCACTCACTCCCACGAATACAGCAATTGGTGCTGCTGCAGCTGCAGCTTGTCCAGGATTTGGAGCACTATACACAAACTGAAAGGAACAGAGAAGAAGAAGATGAGTCATAAGCAATAAGAAGTGTATTCTCAATTTTTTAACAGAAAATCAGGTTCTGTAAAATGCTAAGACTAAGAGTTAGACATATAGAGTGATGCTTAGGGCTTATGGTTTTGAATTAATTTGGAAATAAAAGGAGACCATGTTTTTTCTAACCAAAATATATAGTCTTTGGTAATGAGATTGGTATATAGTCTTTGGTAATGAGATTGGTTAAAGGTTACAAGCGAAGCAAAGATGTGGTAGCCTTTCTTCTAGGAACCATTAATTAGCAGGTAAATTCTTGTATGTTATCATAAGCCAACGCCATACCCATATATGATATAAGGCAGAGGATCATTTGACAGTTCCATCTCCAAGGAAGGGGAACATACCCTACGAATGCATTTGTATACAAGAAAGGACACCAGTGCTCCCATGAATGGTGAGATAACCCATGAAGAAATCACTCTTGCCAATGAGCTCCAGAAGACAGCACCTGCTCCCCCATAGACAAGTCCAAACCCAACCATCGATCCTACTATACAGTGCGTTGTTGAGACAGGCCAGCCATAATATGATGCAACCTGACTAGCAGAAAACAATTAGTGGTGGATGGAAGAAAGAACAGGAGAATGTAGCATATAAGTGCACAACTAAATCCAGGGGGAAACATATGCAGCATATAAATGAACAACCAAATTCAAAGTCCTTGTTTTTTTCTTTTCCTTTCTGAAACAACTACATTCAAAGTCAAGCTTAAATTGAGTTATATGTATAGGATTTATTTGTTTGTCAAAGTAAGTGCATGGAAGAGTAATTGTTGCTTTCTTCCATAAAGGTCTCTGTCATTCTGAACGAGTTATGCTGCATGATACATAATTGCTAATGTAACACATTCATTCAGTTCGAAAAAAGATAACTCTATTATGCTTGTTAAATAAGAGAAATTTTTAGTGTGGCGGTCATACTGCCATGTGGTATTACTATTTTGATCATAAAACTTGTAGCACTAAAGAAGATTCGGAGGGTGAATCATCCTAAGACAGAGAAGCTTCCCTTCACACGCATTTGATTGAAGAGACCAGCTCTTACTGTTTTCCAATGTCATTGTATGCATGTATCAAGGAAATCTTGGTTCGATGATTTTGAGGGACAACTCATTCATGTAGGTCATCGATCAAGCGAAACACAAAACCACAAAATACATGCAGTGGAAGTTTGTTCTTATTATTGCACAATGGTTAAACTTTTATAAATATCTAATAGCCATCCATTCTGTCCTGTCTGGGTAACATATTCCAGAAGTTGGTCCATAAAAGTTAGTTTAAGTAACCCAACAAAAGGAACAAGATATTGAACTTAACATAACTGGGCCTCCTTCATGATCCACACAAAGTTAGTTTAATACTAATAAATTTAGTTTGATTTCTCCCAATAAGCCATGAGAATTCTACCAAATCCAGAAATGCTCTTTTGCTAATATCTCCCCTTTTTGTCTCATAGGAATTGAATATGTTAATCCCATAACTAACTTTTTTTTTTTGGTCGAACCCATAACTAACTTAGACAGCACTGAGATAGAAATAAAAACAGAGGAAGAACAATATTATACCTGCAACCAAGTACCAGCAGCAGCAAGTGAAGAAAGCAAGCCAGCAAAGAGCAGAGTGTCTTTGCCCTGAAACACATTAGCAACAAGAATGCCCTTTTGCATTGTGCTTGTCACATGAGTCCCCATAAAAAATGCTCCTGAGAATTCCAACACTGCCGCAGTTACAACAGCCTGCCTTAGCGTCAATGCTCCTGAACCCACCGAAGTCCCCATGGCATTGGCCACGTCATTGGCTCCAATATTCCAAGCCATGTAGAAACCAAACAACAGCGTTGCATAAGACAACATCTTGGTCTTCAAGGCCATGCCTTGCCACAGAGACTTCATGAAAAATGGAAGACTCAGAGCTGCAAATACTATGCATATGGAAATGGCTGAAGCTGTGCGGGAAGATATGTGGAAGGCCTGAGCCATTCCAGGCGACTCAGCTTGGTCCTCTGTTTTTGTATTCTCGTGATGTTCTTCAGCTTTGGCATCTTGGTTTTGTTGTTTTTCACCTTCCGCTTCAGCAAAAGAAGATAAACTGGCAAAAGGGTGTGTGATTTTCGAGTTGTTTAGCCTCGAAATGGGGAGAAAAGACTTGGGCAGTGGTGTTTGGGGCCTGAGAAAGTTTGTCTCTTTCCTTGGGAAGTGGGTTTCAGTTGAAAAGGAAAAAGAGCGGTGCTTTGGGAGATAGAGATGAGAATTGTGGAGAAGAAATGCTTCTGGTGTGATGGTGTTCCTTGCAGAAGATAGGCAATAAGAAGGAGTCATTCTTAGGTGAAGAAAGAGGGCAGAGAGAGTGAGGAACAGTGAGGGTGGAGAATCCAAAGGGGATTATTCAGGTGGATTCTTGGCCATGGAATTTGGTGAGGGAGAGGAGGAGAATGGAGTAGGTGGTGGTAGAGGAACAGAGAAGTGTGCATTTTTGAGTTGGATATGATTTTTTTTTTCTTTTAAATTTTTTTTGGTTGGAAAGAGAGGGAGGTAAGAGTGGATTTGGCTGCTTCCTTTCTTCGATTGGAACGAGTGGTGGTCCTATTTCTTGAGAGACTTCTCACCACCACTCACATATATTCCCCGGTCAATGTTCAGAAAAATTAGAGTTTATGAAAAAATGAGGGGAAGAAAAAAGAGAATATATCAAGCACACCACCATATCTACTAGAGATTATGGTGTTTCTCCTTATGGCATTGTGGTGGGCAACTTGATCAACTCCAATTCTGGTCTATTTTAGAACACATATAACATATTGTTAGATAGAATAAAAAGCTTGTAATCAAGTAGTGAATATGTATATGTTTGGTGTATTCCTCACAACTACAATATCGCGTGTATCAAACAAATAAAAAACGAATATGAATATATTTGGTGACTAGAATTGGATTTGATTAAGAGGTATGATTGAACATTTATTAGCACTAGTGTTCCGAATTTGTATCGTGGCTCTCGGGTCTGGGTCCAAGATCAAAGAGTTGGAACTTGGAGTAGTGATTAAGTTATACCTGCTTTCATTTTTTTAACACCAAACATGGTATTGGATTAAGCTGATCAAATCCTACAACTTTTTTTACCAACCAAACGAGGCCCGGACAAAGGAGAGCTTCAAAGTTTCAAACCCCTGTGCCCAAGAGAACACAAATATGACACAAGTCAACTATGTCAGCGGGAGTAATTGGACCGAGCCAAATCTGTAGCAAGCCCTAGAGTGAAAACTTATTTTTCATTATGCTAAACGAAGGAGTGATTGGGTCTCACAAATAGATAACAACCCAAGCCCATGACAATATATAGAGCCCATCAGTACTCCAATTATGTAAGCCAACTACCTTATTAGGTGACCATACAATACAAAATGGTCGAAACTTCAGTTTGAAACTTGCTAGTTCTGTTTTAGCAAATTTCCGACCTTCCATCAATCACAGGTTCATGGAGCTTTTATCGAAACATGAATTGACTTTGGTAAAATCGAGCTATGTATGTGTTTGGGCCTAATTTCATCGCGCCAATCTATCTGATTATTGCCTCATATTGACGACAGGGGTTTGTGCTTTGTTTTACTAAGATTGGAA